TGTGGGCCAAGCTGGAACCGGGACTAACCCGATGTTTTTGATGATAAAGCTTACCATTAAACAAAAAATGTGATTCTTTTGTAGTTATAACCATTAATTCATGAAATATCTTTATTGGTATTCCTACAAAACTACCTCCTTTCTCATATAATAGGGTTTTACATTTCTCAATGGTTTCATCTAATGGTATGTTAGTAAATAATGATTCTACATCAAAACTTGCAATTACTACATTCTTATCAAATTTTAAATCCTTAATATCGTCTACAAATTCAAAGCTATCTTTCAGAGTGTATTCATTATTAATAAATTCTTTAAAACCTTTACTTAAAAATGTTGCTAATTTATGATTATAGCAACCAATGTTGGACACAATAGGTCTCATTGGACAATTGTCTTTATGCATTTTTGGCAATCCATACAATATATCCGCGTGCGAACCACTTGGTCTTATTTCCTTATAAATATCTTCTGTTATGATGTTTTCTTTTTTTCAGTTTTAGTAAGTATCTAATCAACTTATTTTATCTGGTTTTGGTGAGATATTCTTTAAGGATTTTGAATATATTTTTGTCCTTAATAATTTCATCAAACTTGTTGTTATAGTCTTCCTTATCAATAATGACTACTTTGTTACCTTTATCAGGCTTCGTAATCACTATCTCTTTGTTCTTACTTAACTTTATCAAGGCTTGATTTTCTAGCCAACTAATATTCCATGACTTAGAATTCAAGTTGTAACTTCGTAAACCATTTAAACCTGTACTAGTCATATATGTACCAACATTATCAAAATTAATCTGAGCAGATGAATTAACCTTACAACACTTAAGATCCTTTAATAACAGTTCAAATCCTAATAAATAATTATAAAATTCCAATTTCTTAGAAGCGATTGTAAATCCTAATCCTCTAAATAATACTTTATTTTCAATATCATTTAAACAATAATTTGATAAATTTATTATCAGATCATCAGGATTACTTGAAAAGGATTTACTAATTTGGTTTTCTTCAAGTTTAAAAAATTATTCTGTGCTAATCTTATTTCTATCAGTTTAGTGTTGTCATTTCTTATAATCTTATTATTCAAACAAAAGAAGTCAACGTTACTAATTAACATTTTAAGTTCTAATTTATCTTCAATTATTATTTTTTCAAGTTTTTTAAATAGTTTTCTCCTTATATATAATTTCACTTTCTAAAAACCTTTTCGGAGTTTCTTTATATTGTTTTGATTCTTTGAACCTAAAATTGGCAGTTTTAAAATTTAAAAAAATTTGGCTTTAATCCATAAACCCTTACATTTATTCCAAAAGTTACAAGTTAATTTATTTTTATTTAATTTGATATCATCTTTTTCAAGTTTTCTATACTTTTTAACACTTCTTTATTATACCTTTTCTGTATAATTTGAATTGTGGATTTGTTTTCCGGAAATCTTAAATCTGTGATATAAATCTGAGTACTAACCAAATAACAAAAAACATTCTATATTGACTAAAGTTACCCCTATCCAAGTTACCTATTAACCAAATACTTTTACACAGATACCAAGATTAATAATTTAAGACATCCTTAATTATTTTTAATAACTTAGAGGAATAACCTAAAAAACCCTAAAAAAAACCTTAATCTCATAAATGTTTAAGGTGACATTTGAACAACATCTCTCCGTTTTTAGTCATACCTTCAAAATGTAAAAACCACTGAATTTTTAAAGTAACAAAGCAATCCCTATCCCAAGTAAGTTTCAATTTAGAGTTATAATTTTGAGTGGAAAGCAGGATCGCCAAATGGTACGTTCCCGGTCCACCAAAAAAGAAAAATTAATCCAATCAGAATGTAAAATAATTAAGTTAATTAAGTATTTTGATCTAATGATTTTCATTACCAAAGTGCATCTCAACCTAAACCAAATCAGAAAAAAAATTAACAAATACACCATAAACGATGAGCAAACGACATAAAAAAATTTTTTTTTTAATAACATCATAAACAACAAGCAAACTAAAAGCTAAAACCTCCTCCTCCTCCTAAATCAATACACCATAAACAACAAGCAAACTGAAAACTAAAACCTCCTCCTCCTAAATCAATACACCATAAACAACAAGCAAACTGAAAACTAAAACTTCCTCCTCCTAAATCAATACACCATAAACAACAAGCAAACTGAAAAATAAAACCACCTCCTCCTAAATCAATACACCATAAACAACAAGCAAACTGAAAACTAAAACCTCCTCCTCTTTATAAGACACATATGAAAACATTTAGAACCTACAATTAAAACCCCGAGCTTACGGCAGACCAGCTGCCATTTTCAAGTACACATTAACAATTTAAATCTAATATTTGAATAAATAACACAAGGTAATTTAAAACATGTGAATTTTTCTCTCTTATCACACTTTTAACACCAGCTCACCGTGTAGCTATGCGCTGAAACAACAACAACACATTTTAAGTATGTATAGAACTACATTTTTTTCCTACTCTGCGCTCGCACACTTCAAGAAAAGCACTTCTCAGTTAATAATATAAACACACGTATAAAGATTGCAGGTATACGTTTTTTTATACATATAATTCAGACTATTGGTATAACATGGAGGTTAAAAACAATCCTTATCATACTTACTGTGGTTAATGTTATATCCAGTGGTTGGGGCCCTGTGATTTCCTTGTACACTCTGGTTCATTTCGTTTTCATTGTAAGGCAAGGCCATACTCTCGTGCTCGGAAGTCTGGATGAACTGACGGTACTGGCAATACATATATATGGTAGTATATGAGTTCATGGAAATTCAATCGTCATTTAGTTCTTTGCTCGCTGCTGGTTGGTTTAGCCACTTTAAGACTATTTTATCCAGCTTTATATTGTTATCTGAATAAGTCTTTAGATGTTTTAATAGCATGAAAAACCTGATATTTTGTTTTTCGAAAAAAGGATATGGAAAAAAAAACACAGGATTTGAATCAAATATAATCCAGGATACGAAATAGCTACAAAAAAAAACAATAGCAAAATATAGGTTAAAACACAATTGATTATACACTAACTGGAAGTCATTAATTAAACTGTTTTCAGTTTCCGCCTTATGAAATTTTTATACTCCCTTCTATGGCGAATTTATAAGTTGCGAATAGCCTAAGCATTTCTTTATCTAATACATATCTTATTTTCTTAAAATTTGCTGAATTTGTTGGTTAGGCAATTAGGCTTTCATCTGTATTATGTCTGACATTAAGTAAACACGTCAGCAATTTGATAAGCATGATTAATAGTTTGGTTTTTAAAAGGCCATGGCAAAAGGACGACGTCATGCGCTTCATATTTGTAAAATTACATATGTCGAATTTTATTTCATACGTTATGACATTCGGACCCCTTATATATGTCATTTCTGCCACAAAACTAAAATCGCACATTAATTCATACGTAATATTTTTATTAACAATGAGAAATCAGGACATCCAGTATTCCTAGGGAACGTTTTGAAGATACCACTTCTTTATAAAGGCTGAACTATAAATAAATATTATATTTAAAATATTTTTTTGAAGATTAATATAACTGAAACATGCTGCTTATTCGTATTTGAGGTTCATGATTTTCAAGTACATTTTTTAAACTTCTAACCGGTTCGTTTTAAAATACAATGATATATCTGTTCCAATACTCGGACATTAACAAAAAATATACGATTATCATCCGACATTGGCTTCTTAACAGCGTTTAAAACTTTGGTACATGCAAACCGAGAAATGTTTACAAATGTAAGTTCAGACAAATTGTTGTCTCTTGGGTTGTCGATCGAAAAACACCTTCAAGTTTGAAATACGTAGTCTTTCATTGTGAAGAAGAAACCGCGTGGAAACCGAAGCTCTTATTTTATTCTATGGTTTAGAAGGTCCAAAATAAACCGAATTGCGATTAACTCAAGGATGAACAATAGGGGAAAAACAAAGACCACAAGTAAATGTCAATTGAAAAACAGAAGTAATTTTATTTCTAAACGTGTGTGTAAACTAAAGTAGACTTGTAAGAAACATCGTTTAAAATAATAAGAAAAAAGACAGCTATTTCTTATTTATCATTTGTTGTGATGTTAGTTTTTAGCATTTTTTAAAGTTTCTAACAACATACAGTGAAAGGTCGCATTACCCTTAATTAATATGTATAAATCATATTATGATAAGCACACGTGTGCTTTATATGGGTGCTTTATATGTTGTTGTTGTTCTTTTTGATCTTATTTTTGTTCACTGACTCTATGGTCATTTGAAAATGGACTTATGCATTCAACAAGGTGCTTTTAATTTAGATTAATTATTCATAACTGTTTAAGTAACTTATAAATATAACTTGTTAAGTAACTTATAAATATAACTTGTTAAGTAACTTATAAATATAACTTGTTAAGTAACTTATAAATATAACTTGTTACGTAACTTATAAATATAACTTGTTAAGTAACTTATAAATATAACTTGTTAAGTAACTTATAAATATAACTTGTTAAGTAACTATAAATATAACTTGTTAAGTAACTTATAAATATAACTTGTTAAGTAACTTATAAATATAACTTGTTAAGTAACTATAAATATAACTTGTTAAGTAACTTATAAATATAACTTGTTAAGTAACTTATAAATATAACTTGTTAAGTAACTATAAATATAACTTGTTAAGTAACTTATAAATATAACTTGTTAAGTAACTTATAAATATATTGTCTCTTATCGTGTACAGCAGTCCATAATGTAGTGAGTTTTCTGAGTCTGTTTGTCTGAAACGTTCCTGACTGGTTCAGTAGGATTGAGAATATATTTCTAAAATGTTTCAAGTCATTACTCGATATAGCATGTTGCATGATATTGTTAATTATCATGCACGAAAACGTATAATTTTTCGTCATATAGTTCTATCAGTGAAGGCAGTGTAACATTGGTTAGAATGTTACAATATACGACAAAACATGTCTGACACCCATTAACTACTATCAGTGTCTTAACCAACTGAAATAGGCCCACACCATAATACTAATCCTATCACTTTTTACACCTAAGATGGTATAGTCATATCTAAAATGTTCTTAGGATTCAGTCAAACCCAGATTCGTCCATCCGAATACAAACAATTAGTAGAGGGTTTTGTTGTTTTTTAACTTTGATTTTTCACTCTAACTTTGACGAACAAATCCCCATAAGAGTTGTCGCCTTGCATACAGAGCTGTGATGGGCGCATTATGGGATGCAGCTTGTCCGTGATGTCCATTACCATAAAGTTTCCTGCATCAATGGATATACTGTACTTGTGAATCATCATGAAGAACCTAGTTGATTCTTCTAAAATACCAGATGCACGTTTTATTTGGCAACATGTTACAAATTCCGCATGAACTAATGAATGAAATGTTTCGGGCAACATTGTTAATATTATATATTAGAAACATTTTACCTCGTTAATATTATATATTAGAAACATTTTACCACGTTCATATTATATATTAGAAACATTTTACCACGTTAATATTATATATATTAGAAACATTTTACCACGTTAACATTATATATTAGAAACATTTTACCACGTTAATATTATATATATTAGAAACATTTTACCACGTTAATATTATACATTAGAAACATTTTACCACTTTAATATTATATATATTAGAAACATTTTACCACGTTAATATTATATATTAGAAACATTTTACCACGTTAATATTATATATTAGAAACATTTTACCACGTTAATATTATATATATTAGAAACATTTTACCACGTTAATATTATATATTAGAAACATTTTACCACGTTAATATTATATATTAGAAACATTTTACCACGTTAATATTATATATTACAAACATTTCATTTCCTTAGCGTATTACTGACAAAGAATTTAATTATAAGAAGTTAGGCTGAAATGTCTCCGATGATCCCCCTCCCTCAATGCTGAAATAAATAGTTTATTACAGCGAGTGTTTTCCTCTTGGCAAATTGATTCTAACTGGCTGGAATTTATATTCGAATTCAATGGGGGTGGTCTCATTACTACAGCTGGGGTTAGCCGTTCCAATACTTAGTAACATTGTGTATATTGTTGCATGTACAGTAGAAACTTATGTAAGAAATTTTTTTATGGTACTCAAGACTCAAATAAACCTCATAAAGGAACATCTATCTGAGTAGTACGGTTTTATAAATGGGTATACATAGCTGATATTAGATAATTTATAAATAAGCTTAACGTATTTAACAAGAAGTGATTAATTAATCTAGATTAAAATCACCGAACTGAATACACGATTATATCATCAAATAATCATAGAGTCAGTGAACAAAAATAATAACAACAAGAACAGCGAGAAGCGCTGTTTTCTTGAAATTCGATGCCATGATAGAATAAACCCTGGTCATGGTGAAGAAAAACTAATCATTCTAACATTATAACTACACCCCAGTTGTCAAGAAAACGATCTGGATAAAACATTTATGACTGTCCCCCACAACAAGTAAAACAAACAACAGTCATATTCGAATGTGCACGTGCGTGATCCTCTGGTCATTCAGATTTCTTTAAGAACAAATAATTATAAGGCTATTTTCTGTGTTATGTGCAGATCAGAATAGCTATGTCGCTTTGGATACAATGACAACCACAACATGAAATATAATCAAGTTTTTATGAAAGAAAAACAGTACCAACTATTAGGTAGTGTTGCAAATATCAATAATATTACTAAAATTTTTATCTTTATTTCTTAAGAGAAAACTCTTGACTGAAAGGGACAGGAGTAAAACGTATTATAAAGAAGTCTCACCTATTGATTCGTTTTAGAAATATCAGTAATTTTTACCAATGGATTTAATTGTCGTTTTTTTTTGTTAGAGTAAACTCGTTATGGAAAAGGATGATAATATAGTTTTAAAAATGTATTCATATACACAGGATGTTATATGTCTGTGAGCTGTTTAGTATGCATGAGGAATATCTTACACACATGCATAAAGTATCATGGATGTGCATTCTACTAGTTGTTTTGGGAATATCAGTAGAGGGCGCCTCTGTGGCAAACATTCAGTATCGTTACTGTCAGTCATTATTAATGCGTCCATCCTCACAATGGTGTTGGTCGCTGCAGTATGAAATGTATCACCAAGGATTGCCCGAACTTCTGTCACGATGGCATCCTTCGACGAAGAATGATTGCTGGGTCATGCGATACATCCGTGAATGCCCCACAACTAGCAGAGGAGCGTATTGGGCAGACATGAAAGGAAGTACTGCCGAGAAGTTCCTGACCAATTTAACGAGTGAAACAGCTGTGTATGTTTCACATGTTGTGTTAGTCCTGAAACGGTACATCCGGAGTGCTGCTTCAATATTGCAACCCTTTTTGATGGCACAGCTCCACCAACATGGCCAAGTTGTGTCATCCACTTTTAGCGGTAGAATAACTATGATGATATACCAGTGAATTTGCAGCAATACGTGAAATGCAACATTACTGATTTCTTATGCATGCACAAAAACATAAATAGAAACCGCCCTTATGTTACACGGTTCGACCTACAGATTGCTTTAAATATCCATATTGACTTTGTAATCACGCTGTACATGAATAAAAACCAAGACGAACACCATGCCACGTGTATGCAAGATATATTCTATTCAAACTCATGCAACACATGAGACACGTGTAATTCTTCGTGTTTGAAGACCTGCATATAAACGTTCGTTTACATTTTTTAATGCTAAGATATGCCAGGAAAAAAAGTAAGCTCATACATGTGTTTTACATATTTTTTATGAATGTTACCGATAGGTTAGAGAGTTATAATGCTAATAATTAGTGTGTAGGTGCTCCTTACAAGACACACTATCTGTAAACTAAATAATCATTCTATCAAGATAAAGTCATGAAAGTAATATATACTAAAAGATACTTCAGAAGGTGCGCATCTTTCTGCTACAAGTGCATAAGACTAGTTTAGTTTTTCACTGTTTTGTCATTGTTAGTAATAATTCTATGATCAATAGTCACGAATAGAGAGTCACATTCCTAAATACATATTCGGTGACGAGGAACCCACTTTGAGACTAATAATGGCTGGAGACGGCTTGAATGGGTAATGAAGAAAAACTTTAATATAAGTTTAACATAACAGCAAATGTACAATGATGACAAAGCCTTGTACGAAACGTTGTACATTTGCTGTTATGTTAAACTTATATTAAAGTTTTTCTTCATTACCCATTCAAGCCATCTCCAACCATTCCTAAATACATGTTTACCAGATAGGCATACTTATAACTGTTATAAGACAAATCAATATAAAATAGAAACACATATAGATAAAAGTTTTTGTGTGACCCAGGTAGCCGAAGTTTTTACTTTAGAGTTAAATGCTAATCTTATAGGGTTCTTAACAATTGAACCAAATCGTATTTATTAAGAACCATTTTCCATTCAACAGGTCTGAAGTATCTTGGATTATGATTGGAAGAAATATTTATCCTTGTACTTAAACCGTAACAGGAGTTTCCCGAGACAATCATAAAGCTAAATAGAAAGGTTACTTGTTTGAGTAAATATTCATACCAATCAGCAATGTCCACTAACTGTTCACCAAATGGTATATGTCACCAGATCATACCATCTGGTGAGCAAGTGGTAGTGGTAATCTGGGTATTTTAGACATCCATGTTCTTAAAGAAACGAGAAACAAAATTACAATAAATATTATATGATTGAATATTAAACTTTTAGTGAAATATTAAGGTCTCTAATGGTGAATAAGAAAGGAAGGATAGTTTTGCTTAATTAAATTAAAATTGTGCAATTAGGCTGAATTGGAAGAACTATAAAATTATATTTAAGTTACAAAAAACTCTGGAAAGAAAGGTCATATAAGAACATCGTATTTTCATGCTAAACCACATACTTTAACACTGTGTTTTTTGTAAACATTTTCTTAACATGATAAAAATCTTTAATGTTTTCTTTACTGATTCAAGACCATAGAGGTCTTTCATGGTAAAGCATGATTCGAAGAAAGATATTGTTCATGCTAAATCGTGCCTTAAGACAAAAAGTAACTTTAATGCTAAATTGTGCCTTAAGACAAAAAGTAATTTTCATGCTAAATTGTGCCTTAAGACAAAAAAAGTAATTTTCATACTAAATCAAGCCTTAAGATAAAGCTACTTTTCATACTAAATCAAGCCTTAAGATAAAAACTACTTTTCATACTACATCATGCCTTAAGATAAAAACTACTTTTCATACTAAATCATGCCTTAAGATAAAACTACTTTTCATACTAAATCATGCCTTAAGA